TGCCTTGACAGAAGATGAGGGGTCAGATCTGATCATGCTTGGTAAGGATCTCTAGGCAGAGCTAAATCCAATAAGATGCCCTTGAATCTTCCCCATGATTTTTAGGGGGCTGAAGTGCTGCGTTCTACAAGGGCTGCCAGAAGAGCTGAAGCAGCTTCTCCATTCTTCAAGGTGGGAGGACTGCAGGGTACTTATTCTCAGTGCTGCTGCTGCTTGAACAGTCTGTACTTTTTCTGGCTTCCTGATCTCTCATTGAGGATGAATTCTTTCCATGGAGAACCCTCTGTTGTCAGAGCTGCTCCTGACTCCTGGAGGAGGGTGGATTGTGGGGTGAGATGAACTTAAAGTGCAGATCAGACCATGGTGCTTAGATCGATGAAGGAGGGTCTTCCTGCTCTCCCTGTGTTCTTTTCCTGTGCCAATACCTTTCCTAAGGGCAGGGGCAGGGCTGAGACTGCATCTGTACTATAACCACCCCTTTATTCTGGGGGCTGGAGCTGCTGCCCTCGAGTGAGGCTGCTGGACTCTGAGGTAGTAATCCATTTGGGTAGTTTCAGAATTCCCTCCTACTCTAGAGGGGCTGAATCCCTGGCAAGAGGAGGGGAAGTTCTTCACAGAGCTTCCTCCCTATAAGGGATTTCTGAGGGGACAGTCTTCCCTAATTTTCCCTTTGGAGTGTAAGCTGCCCCTGCACTTGAGGCAGAAATGTCTGGTAACGCTAGAATGATCCTGACCTTTGCTCCTTCTCAGCCATTTTGGAAACCTGGTAAGGAGGTTGGGAGCACAGGGGAAGGTACTGGGTCCTCTGCTGCTTATGGGATTGAAGGTCCCAAGCTGTCAGTGCCTCACATGTGCTGCTGTGGCAACTGATCACTACACCTTCTTATAAGTGTCTGAGGCCTGCTTCTTTGTCCCCCAAGGTTATTATTACAGGAAAAGAATGTGTCTGCCATCTGCTGGAGACTAACAGAAATCTGAGTTATGGCTAGAACCTTATATGTGAGGGATATGACAACACAAGACAGTGTTCCCTCTTCATGTGCTGACCTGTATGTGTTTAGACTCATTTAGAAGACTAAAGAGAGAATTTATTTTGTTTGAGCAGCCCCATCAAAGATTTCCAATAAGTACCTTCAGAATCTGCTTTCATTTATAAAATCAGCTTCTTGTCCTTCTGGTTAATGATAGAACACTGAAAACAATTGACTAAACTGATGCACTAAACAATTCACTAATTGATTCCTTAGTCTGCAGAGAGCCTGAAATAATAGCTCCAAGTCGTGCAATCTATCCTAGTAATTTCAATCAGGGTACTGTGGAATCTGCAATTGCACAACCATGGCATCTAGCATTTTCCAAGAGGCCATGTAATTCAGAATTTTTATAATCAAATACATCATCTTGCTATAGACAGGCACCTCACATTTTGTTTTCTCTCTCTGCCCAGCTGGGATCTATCTGCAAATGCCCCTCTCTCCAGTTTCCTTTGCACAAAAGCAGTTAAGTGGGACTATAGTGCATGTTAACTGCACTGTTCCATGAAGCCAGGCAGCAGAGTCAGGGAGACATTGCTGGAGTCCTGCTTGTAGGCAGGGAATGGGGACAGCTAAAATCATTCTTGTGCTATTTCTCTGACCCCTCTCCAATTTATCAACATCCTTCTTGAATTGTGGACGCCAGAACTGGACGCAGTATTCCACTACCATCCACACCACTACCAATACAGAGGTAAAATAACCTCTATTGCTACTTGAGATTTCCCTGTTTATGCATCCCTGGATCACATTTAGTTATTAGGTTGCAAAATCAAGCACCTGAAAGTTAGGAAATGACAGATTTAGAGTTGCCTATACAACCTTAACTGTGCCCTCCCCGCATCCCACCTGTGAACTGCAGTGGGGTCCTATGGAAAAAATAGCATGTGATTGTGTAATTAAAGACTGAATAATATTGCATAATGTATACGGAGGCAGAACTAAGTTTACACAGGCAACTGGAAGTCTGGCATTTTCTAACTTTCAAGTGCTTGACTTTTCAAACTACATAACTTTCTTTTAACATACAAAAAGTATGTGGTTTCCTAGTTGTTGTTTAAAGGGGGAAAAACCAAGTTCTGTTATACACATTTGCAGCAGAAGGTTATTTATCGCAGAGGGGTGATGCGCTTCTTGTGCCCTGTGCTGGGTGTAGGGAGTGCTATGAGGAAGGCCTGCTTGTAGTTTTAGTCCTGTTTTTTAATTACTTTTTTTTAAACACAAATAGAATTTGTATCTTTCAGATCTTGTATAACTTTAAAATTAAAACCAAATTTACTTTATTCTTCACAGTCCTAAAATTCTTCTGCTAGATGAAGCAAAAAGGTAAGGAATAAAATAAAGTGAGACTGGGAAATGCTATCTTATAGTTAAGAGCAGGAGACTTGGAGTCAGGAAATCTAGGTTCTGTTTCCAGCTCTGCTACTGTCTCTGAATGACCTTGAGCAAGTCATTTAACCCGCTTCTCCCCCTCTCTATTAAATGGGTATACTTTCCAACCTTTGTAAAGTACTTAGAAATACTCTGATGACTACACCAGATTAAGTGCAAAGGACAGTCAATACTTTATCACTTATTAAATAAAATAGAACGCCTAAGAAATCTTTGTAATTTACATGGATAATAAAACATTACACAATCTCAAAGGTTCCCATCTCTAACTTATGAAAATATTAATAAGTCTTGAGAGGATAGGCATAATTACACTGCCTCCACTTGTTTCTGTGTTATTCAGTGTTAAATTTCAGAGTTCTATGTGGATGTAATATGCATCCTCCAGGATGCCTGCACTAGACGTTTTCACTAAAGATTTCCCACCATTGCCACCACTGGTTCAGCGGCACTAGTGACAGCAAGCATGGGAGCTCTAGTGTGAACTCCTGGTCCCACTGAAGTCAGCCAGGATTTCACCCCTAAGGCTCCAGGTAGCAACCAGCATTTAAGCATCACATCAACTAACTCTGCTCACAATGAGTCTCTATGCCCAGATATGGGAGAGCTTCTGCCCCACGTGGTGCCTCCAGAGGAGAGATGGGACACTGGGTCCCCACGTGCTAGGTCCAGGATGTGTGGTAGGAGCAGAGCCCAGCCCAGTTCCACCACAATCTTCTGCAACAGCTGCTCTGACAGCTCCCAGGCCAGTGCATGTTGCTGGTCTGGCTGCCGGTGGCCTACGTTTTAGAATATTTGTTTTCAGTTATTTTGGAATGCTGCCAAAAGTTTCACACTATACACAAGCAACAGAAGAAAAATGGAGATTTTAAACAATTTATAACTCACCTAAACCTGAACAGGGACTAATAGAGTAGTAATATTATGAAAGTGAACTACCTGAAATACTTTTATTAATAATTTGGAGTTTATAAAAAGCTAGCTGCTGAGTTTCTGAAACTGTGATTTTTGCAGTGCAGTAGCCAGAGAAATTGTTGATTTACCATCTCTTGTCCTGGACAAATTCACTGTCACTGAAGTCAGTGGAGTTACACTTGTTTATGTTAAGAGCGAATACAACCCAATATTTTAAATCAAAATTCCATGATAAACATTTTTTGAGGGGCCTTTTATACAGTGGCCCAATTTTTTCTATCATTCATATAGCGTCCAAAGAAGTGCTAGGTGCTTAGGGATAAAACAACTTTCAGATATGTTGTCCAATTTCCTGGATAAGAAAAAGTAAACTGTGTAGCTACAGTAATCATATCCAATATTTTGGTTTACATTTTCTAACCTTATGTTTATCCCGTCTTCTCCTTTTTGATTTTTTCTTTTCCTTTTCTTTTTTGCGTTTCTTTCGTGATTTTCTATGTGCTTTTTCATTTTTCTGTTTATCTTCCCCTTTTGCATCCTGTTCTTCCTGAACTTCTTCAAATCCTGCATCATCTATTTCACCATCTTCTAGCTCACCATCTTCCCTGTATGGGAAAGGTATGATTTAGATTAAATATGAATTTCCTAAATTAAAAGCATGTAGTACAAAACTGCTCATTTGCAACAATAAAAGTCAATAAAGATTTTTTTTTTACTACCAAGTCTCTTTTCTTCAACTAAATTTATTAAACAATAAATCTTTAAACATTCACCCAAAAAGTTACTATGATTTTCTCCCATAGTTTAAATAGTGTATCCAAATCATAAATTGGTCTTGGCCTCAATACCAGAAGTAGTTTATATACAAATAAAAATGACAAATTTAAACCACTCATAACTAAGGTCTTCTCTACATTAGGAATACAGCCACATCAGGGCACTGGCAACTACAAAGTGTCCTAGTTTGGCTACAGTTTTGATTTGTAGTGTACAATGGGTCTTTAACTATGTTTCATAACCAGGCTAAAGCCTTGGTCAGACCACAGCTTTCACCAGATCATCAAGGAGAGTTAAGGTCCAGTTTACATTACAAACTATAATGTTTTCCACTGAATTACAGAACAACAGTATTACCACCAGGAGCCCTAATTTTGTTGTGTATGTAGCGTAGTCAGGGCATAAATTAAAGATGAGTAAGGCTCTTAGAAAACTGAGTAGTAAGTGGGACTGTACAATAAACGTGGAAGTGCTTCCACCCTTAGAAAACACTACACTTCATACGAATGAATTTTCTTCATTTTAGGAACAAAATTTATCATAAAACTGAGATTGGGCCCATAACTGTGGCAAATTTGCAATGCTTACCCCATGTGAAAAATCCCCCTGAAGACAAAGGAACTGTTTCATAAGTAAGAATTATAGGAACTTGCCCTATAACTCTGATGCTAAAGCAGCTATTCAAAGAAGCAAGCTGATTTTAACAGTCCTAAACAAAGCAACTGAAGGTGGACTAATTTCACACATTTCACTATATTAACTCTATCTAGGTTAGAAAAAGAACACTACTGTGACATAAAAACGTAAGAACTGCCATACTGGGTCAGACCAATGGGCAGTATAAGCCAGGATGAGCAGGGATGCAAAACCATGCTCTGAAGTGTCCCTAGACACTGTTTGCCAGAAGCTGGGAATGGGCAACAGGGGATGGATCACTTGATGATTAACTGTTCTGTACATTCCCTCTGGGGCACCTGGCATTGGCCACTGTCAGAAGACAGGATACTGGGCTAGATGGACCATTGGTCTGACCCAGTATGACCATTCTTATGTAGTAGCCTTTCTTCATCAGTGGCCAGTACCAAAGCTTCAGGGGGAATGTACAGAACAGGGTAATTTTGGAGCGATCCACCCCTATTTTCTCCTCCTGGCATCTGGCAGTCAGATCTTTAGGGACACCCAAAAATGGGATTGCATCCCTGACCATCTTAGCTAATAGCCATTGATGGACCTATCCTCCAGGAACTTATCTAGTTCTTTTTTGAACCCAGTTATAGTTTTGCCCATCACAACTTTCCATGGCAATGAGTTCCACAGGTTAACTGTGCATTGTGTGAAACAGTACTTCCACTTGTTTGTATTAAGCCTGCTGTCTATTAATTTAATTGGCTGATCCCTGGTTTTGTACCGTGGGAAAGGGTAAATAACTCTTCTCTGTTCGCTTTTTCCACACCATTCATGATTTTATAGACTTCTATCATATTTCCCCTTAATCATCTCTTTTCTCAGACGAATAGCCCCAATCTTTAGTCTCGCCTCATATAGAAGCCATTCCATACCCTTGACCATCTTTGTTCCCCTTCTCTGAACCTTTTCCAGTTCCACTATATCCTTTTTGAGATGGAGCAACCAGAACTGGACACAGTATTCAAGGGCACACTATGGGTTTATATAGTGGCATTATGGTATTTTCTATCCTTTTTCTAATAGTTCCTAACATTCTGTTTTGACCGCTGCTGTGCATTGAGCTGAAGTTTTCAGAGAACTAGCCATGATGACTGACTCAAGATCTCTTTTCTTGAGTGGTAACAGCTCATTTAGAATCCATCATTTTATATATGCAGTTGGGATTAATTTTTCCAACATTCATTACTTTGCATTTATCAACATGGAATTTCAGCTGCCATTTTGTTGCCCAGTCCCCCAGTTTAGTAAGACCCCTTTGTAATGCTTTGCAGGCAGCTTTAGCCCGGCCTTAACTAACTTTAGTAATTTTGCACCATCTGTAAATTTTGCCACTTCATTGTCCACTCCCTTTTCCAGATCAATGAGTATGTTGAACAGGACAGGTCCCAGTACAGACCCTGGGGGAACCCCACTATTTACCTCTCTCCACTGTGAAAACTGACCATTTATCCTTACCCTTTGTTTATCATCTTTTAACCAGTTACTGATCCATGAAAGAGGATCTTCCCTCTTATCTCATGACTACATAGTTTTCTTAAGAGCCTTTGGTGAGGGATCTTGTCAAAAGCTTTCTGAAACTCCAAGTACACTGGATCACCCTTGTCCACATGTTTGTTGCCCCCCTCAAAATAGTCTAATAGATTGCTAATGCACGCTTTCCCTTTACAAAACCCAGACTGACTCTTCCACAACAAATCATGTTTATTTATATTTGATAATTTTGTTCTTTACTACATCTCTACGAATTTATCCAGTATTGAAGTTAGACTCACCAGCCTGTAATTGCCAGGATCGCCCCTTTAAAAAACTGGTGTTATATTAACTACCTTCCCATCACCTGATACAGAGACTTATTTCAGTGACAGGTTACATACTAGTTAGTAGTTCTGCAATTTCATACCTGAGTTCCTTCAGAACTCTTGGGTGTTCCATTTGGTTCTGGTGACTTATTAGTGTTTAGTTTATCAGTTTGTTCGAAAACCTCTTCTACTGACACATCAATATGGGACAGTACTTCAGGTCTGCCACGCCAAAAGAATAGCTCTGATGGATCTCCCCCACCTCTGTGCTGTGAAGACTGATGCAAAGAATTCATTTAGCTACTCTGCAATGGCCTTGTCCTTCCCTGAGTACTCATTTAACACCTTGGTTATCTCTAGTGGCCCCATGGCACGTTTGGCAGGCTTCCTCCTTCTGATATACCAGTACTTAACAAAAATTCTTACTGTTAGCAACTTGCGAAGGATGCAAAAACTATCTAAATAAACTCAAACTTTGTAGGCCATCTATGCTACTGACTTGATAATTCCAATTAGTGGAAATTTATTCTGTGTGTGCAGTTCTATGATCATATACCAAACAAATTAATAGATATGCTAGTGGTGAACATTATACACAGCCAAATTACAATAGGTAGAAAATAAAGAGCTTCTTTGTTGAAGCAGCAAACTATATATGAAGTTATAAATCTGTTTTTAATCAAAACACAGAATGTATTGATTGCTACTGTATAAACTAGGCCATGCACATCATTTTGTGGTTGTGTAAAAACCTGGTAGATTTTCCTCTCCCCCGAAAACCCCCTAATTTAGTGGTTCTTTTCAGGTTTTATCAAAGATTGTGTTTTTGTTTTGTTTTTAAATTTGTGTCACTCTTCAATACTTTCACAAGCTATATTTGAAAACTGACACTAGAAACATCAAACTGTAATTTCAATCTGTGAATGAAAAAAGACAGTTACTTACCTTCTAGTAACGGATTGTTTTCAAGATGCATGGTCCTTATGGGTATTCACTGTCGGTGCGCATGTGCTCTGTGCCTCCTTGTGCTCCCAAGTGAGGGCAGAAAGAGTGGTGTGGACTAACCGCCTCTCCAGTTCTGACTCTACTGTGAATCACATGATGAGCTGAGCACAAGGGAAGAAGGGCGGGTTGTGAATACCCATACAGACCACACATTTCAAAAAAGTCCAGTTACTAAAAGGTAAGTAACCTTCCTTTCTTCTTCGAGTGCTGGTTCCCAGGGGTATTCACTGTGACTTCCAAGCAGTGCTGGTTGAAGAGGAGGGTGCAAGTAAATATGCTGTTCTACAGAAAGGAGGCCCACTAAGCCCAAAGGAGGCATCCCCAGCCAAAGCCAGAACCAAGTGTGTGGTGAAGGTATGAATGAAGCCCCGAGTGGCTGCTCTGCATATCTCCAAGGGCTCTCGTACAATAAGCCCTAATAGTTTGAGGAGGGGTTTTTATAAGATCCTAGCAAAAGAGGATGCAGGAGGAAATCTATTTATCTTTTGGCAATAGTAATGAACAACCTTAGAGACTTCCGAAAGGGTGCTGTTTTGTGCAGGTAGAAGGCTAGAGCCTGGTGCATGCCTAGGGAATAGAGTTTTGCCTCTTCCATGCTGTGGTGAGGTTAAGGGTAAAACAGTGGAAGGCGAATAGTTTGGTTAAAGTGAAACTCACAAAGCACTTTAGGTATGCATTTTGGATACAGTTGAAAAGAAATCTTGTCCTTGTGAAAAATTGTATACATAAAAGCTACACGTTCCCCTATCCCTGTAGCAGAGGTAATAGCTGTCAAGAAGGCAACTTTCAAAGAAAAGTGCAGGAGGGAACAGGAGACCTAGGGTACACATGGTGGTCTTGTGAGGGCAGAAAGGATGAGGGCTAGATCCCAGATCGGGACCAGTTTTGAAACTGGAGGGAACGTCTTCATAATGCCCTTTAGGAACCTTGCAGTAGTGGGATGGGTAACGACTGAACACATCTCCATTGGGGGGTGGAAAGCATTGATGGCTGCAAAATGTCCCCATAGGGAGCTGAGAGACAAGCCCAACATCTTCACTGAGAGAAGATATTCCAGCATGAGGAAGATTCCCGATGCCTTAGGAGGTAAATGGTGCTGCTGACATCAAGGAGAATTGTTTCCATTTAGCGGCACAGCATTTCTGCATTGAGGATCTCCTGCTGTTATTCAGGATGGAGTAAACTCTCTGAGGGCATGATCTCTTCTTTATGTACATTGACCAGTCAAAAACCACGCTATCTGATGCAGAAAAGCTAGGTTGGGATGGTTCATCCTGCCCTTGTTCTGGGACAGCACGCCCAGTAATGGTTGCAGGTGAATTCATGAATGGTAAGAT